ACAGTCCAATAAAACCTTACATTTTAAGCAATCATTGTTAGAACTTCTGGGTTTTGCATTCTATTTTTCATTGCTTTTTCTTTTAAATACTTATATCAGTAAAGGAGAGAAAATTGGTGTATATTGAAAGCAAGGAGATGAAAACTTAAGACTTATTTTTAGTTTTTCTTCTGGAATTTCTCCTTTTTACTGAAGGAGGAGATAGAACTGGCAAAATATGGTTATTCAGCTTACCAAACATTGAGCAAAGGGATGGACTAGGTGCTGGAGACTCAGCAATGAGTAAAACAATGGGTGAGATGGATGCATAAACTAGTGATATCCATATAATACAGGAAGGGTAGGGTCAGGGTGTTCACAAGGTACCATGAGAAACAGAAAAAGGCCCCTTAGACCAAATCAGGTATCAAAGGGTTCTAGGAGGAGAGGACATCTGAGTAAATGCAAAAATGCTGCAAATGACGGTCACCAGGTCATTATAAGTCTGATATAAAGCTTCCTTCAAACAGATTTCCTTCATTTAGTTGTTTGGGGAATTAGGGAAGAAGCTCTTCAAAGAATATTAGCCTGCATAAAGAATAAAATGCAAACATCATTAGCAACACCACCACCACCAGGTGTTGGCGAGGATGCGGGGGAAAAAGGAACCCTCTTACACTGTTGGTGATGTAAACTAGTACAACAACCCTGGAAAAAAATTTGGAGGCTACTTAAAAAGCTAAACATTGATCTACCATTTGATCCAGCAATACCACTCTTGGGGATACACCCAAAAGACTGTGACACAGGTTACTCCAGAGGCACCTGCACACCCATGTTTATTGCAGCACTATTCACAATAGCCAAGATGCCCCACCACTGACCAATGGATCAAGAAAATGTGGTATCTATACACAATGGAATTTTACGCAGCCATGAAGAAGAACGAAATGTTATCATTCGCTGGTAAATGGATGGAATTGGAGAACATCATTCTGAGTGAGGTTAGCCTGGCCCAAAGGACCAAAAATCATTATGTTCTCCCTCACATGTGGACATTAGATCAAGGGCAAACACAACAAGGGGAATGGACTTTGATCACAAGATAAAAGTGAGAGCACACATGGGAGATATGAGGATAGGTAAGACACCTAAAAAATTAGTTAGCATTTGTTGCCCTCAATGCAGAGAAACTAAAGCAGATACCTTAAAAGCAACTGAGGCCAATAGGAGAAGGGGACCAGGAACTAGAGAAAAGGTTAGGTCAAGAAGAATTAACCTAGAAGGTAACACACATGCACAGGAAATTAATGTGAGTCAACTCCCTATATAGCTATCCTTATCTCAACCAGCAAAAACCCCTGTTCCTTCCTATTATTGCTTATACTCTCTCTTCAACAAAATTAGAGATAAGGGCAAAATAGTTTCTGCCGGGTATGGAGGGGGTTGGGGGGAGAGTGAGGGAGCGGGGTGGGTGGTAAGGGAGGAGGCGGGGGCAAGGGGGAGAAATGACCCAAGCATTGTATGCACATATGAATAATAAAAAAAAATTAAAAAAAAGAATAAAATGCAAAGAATTAAAAAAAAAAAACACTCTATCATGTCTTTTGGAACACCAAAGAGAGAAAGGCATTTTTTTTTTTATCTCAAGGAGGTAGGGATCTAAGATGGGGAAAAAAATTAAACATGCATTAGGAAACCTTACTAAACCAAGTTTAACCCAGAACACAAAAGAAGTCAGTCAAGTAAAGAATATTAAAAGATAGTTTTAAGTGGTCATTTTTTTTCAAGCAGGGTCTCACTATGTAGTTCAACCTGGCCTCAAACTTACTATATAGCCCAAGCTGGCCTTGAACTCTCAATCCTTCTATCTCAGTCTCCTGAATGCTGGAATAAGTGTATACCACCAAAGCTGGCAGTGGTCAGTTCTTTGTCTTTAAAAAGTTATTTGTGGGCTGGTGGAGTAGCTCAGGTGGTACAGCAAGCATGATGCCCTGAGTTCAAACCCCAGTGCCAACAACAACAAAAAAAAGTTCCTTATTTATTCTGTCCATCTTTGAATTGACTGTGGCAGGCTGGAAAAAATCAAGATCAATTATCTAAACCTGAAAGAAATGTGTATGTGTGTGTATGTATATGTATGTGCATGTGTTTATATGTACGTGTGTGTGTGCATGTGCTTGGGTATGTTAGTGACAAGGCCCAAAGATTTGATATAAGAATTTGTAACCTAATTTTAAGCTATTCCAGTGGAATAGTGCAGAATGTCAGGCTATAACTCAAAGTTCTACTCTGATAGACATTTGACTCTTGAGGAAAAAATAAAAAGCAACTCTTAAAGATGAAAGTCTGTAAAAGACACAGAAGAAATTCAATCAAGGACTGAAGTCAGAGGTTAAAAAAAGGCATGTAAGTATACTATGAATTTAGACTGAAATTGAATTTTTAATAAACTTGGAAACATTACTTTTATATTCTTCATCAACTTAAGTGAAATGATACATGATAGTACATTGGCACAGAACTATAAACGTAAGTGGCAAACCCATGAGACTAAAAGGTAGAGTTGTAAACAGGAATGTGTTCTAGAAATGACAGGTTTGTCAACAGACCAGACTAGTCTCCAGGAAGAATATCTTTTTCCTAACACAAAGACAACATCAAACGTAAATGATAATATATGACCATATCACATACTGCCATAAAAGGAGCCAATAGTAAAAGGCACTTGCTATATATTTTGTGTCTACTGAACAGTAGAAAACTATTATTCCCCAGGCTGAGTTAGCTGATTTTTCTTCCAGGCTCTAAGAGCACTTCACACGTAGCTAGGCTCAGCATTTATACTATATTATAATTATTTCTTCATGTAGTCGACTGCCCTCCAGACCATAAGTCCTTGATGATAGAGTTTAAATTCATTGTTTCTGGAACTTAAAAACCACCCTGCATCCAATGGAATGAAGATTTATTGAACAAACAAATGCATACATGATTTGCTAGTGACTTCAAATAAAATCTAAGGACTAGAAAGCTTTACAGAAAAATTTTAAATCTCAAGTTGGAAGGGCTTTGTTATTCTAAGAACAGATTCTAATCTCCCTTACCTGGTATTTAAGGCCTTTCTCCACCAGTTCTAATCTACCTTAAGCCCTCGCTCTTCTCCTGTGTCCTCCTACTTAAGATTCTGTGTGTGACTCACTTTCCTGGCACAAGCTCTGCACTTACTCTCCTCTGAGTTTTAGCTCAGTGATCACCAAAAATTTTAGACCATGCAGCTCTCTCCTCATAAAATATTTGAGCACACTTACTTAATACTATGCTAATGTTTATTCCTAGGCAATCACAAAACAGAAGAAAATACATATTTTAAGTGAATGAGGTAGAAGAGTAGAAGTTCAATTTTTTCTTCCTACACACAATGCACTGCTCTGCATGTATTCCACTTTGAAAATCACTGATATACCTCAAAAGAACAAATCTCTCATTGGATTTTGTGAGAATTAAGTGACATGATACATGTAAAGCACTCTGAGCAGTACTTGGCACATACAGGGAACACTATATATACAGCTAATGTTATCACCGTCCTTATCACCAGTCCAGTTTCTTTGGAATAATGGCCACATTACCTACCCTCTAGCTTCACTCCTGTATTTACATACAGGCACTTAAGTGTGTTAAGGCCAAATTAAAATGCTATTTCTTCAAACAATTATGTAACTCATCTTAAGGGATTAGGATTTCCCACAATAGGAGGTATCAAATTTACCAAGTTTTGGAAAAAAGTCAAGCCCAAGATGAAACAGTCTGGAAAAAAATCAAGAATGAGTTTATAGAGAATGATGTACATGAAAAAGATGAAATTATTAAGGCCAAGAAAAATAAAATCCCAAACAAGGAAATATAGCTGTAGCAAATTAATCTGCCTCTATAATATACATTTACATAAGCCTAATAACACAAACACTGACAAATAATTTAATTAAAAGTTGTGATAAAACAGTATGGGAGGAAGGTGGCATTATAACAGCTCTAAGCCTCAACTTTTATTAGCCAAACTCAAAACTCTAAATCAAAGCCTAAACACTAAATTTAGGCATGTTATTTTAAAACTTATAGATAGGGTTGGGAATGGTGGTGCACACCTGTAATCATAGTACCAGGCAGGCTGAGGCAGAAGGATTTCAAGTTGAAGGTCAGCTGGTCTATATAATGAGACCCTGGTTTGGCAAAAAAAAAAAAAAAATCAGAAAGAAAGAAGAGAGAAAAATCATTAAAGAAAATAATCCGAGAAACTTCCCCAGAATATGAGGTTTTTTTAGAATGACAGTATAAAACAAAATAGACAAAAATACCAGGGTATATTGACATAAAATTTAAGAACCCTCAAGGTACATCAACATGAGATTTAAGAATAATAAGTGAAAAAAAGAAGCTTGTGCTGGGCATTTAGAACAGTGGCACAGTGTTTGCCTAGCAAGCACAGAGCCCTGGGTTTAATCCCTAGGACCATAGAGAGAAAAGGAGAAGGAGGAGAGAGGGAAAGAAATAAATGCTTACCAGCTTCTAGGAGATAAAAGAAGTTACGTACAAGGAGATCTGGAGTGAGAACGGTATCTGACTGTTCTCAATGGTAACACAAGAAGTTACAATTTTAAAACAAACAAGATTCTATATTCAACCAATGTATTACTATAGAGGGTAACTACAGAATTTAATAACAGGCAAAGGCTCAAAAACTTTACCCCCCCTCCACCTCCCGCCATTTACTTCTCAAGAATCTACTGGAAGATGCATTCAGAGAGAACAAAAGAGCCAAAACATGTAAGACATGGAATCCAGAAGCAGGATCCAAATATTCTGTTGCCAGAGATTATATTTAAAGTGGTTCTGAGCTTACTGCTATTAAGGTCAAATCAATACAAAGACATTCAGTTGATTTTTTTATGTGGTAAACTATGTTATGTGCCTTTAGATGTACATAAGAGTTTTACAGCGGTCTGAGCATAAAAGAGATTTCAAAAGGGTGTAACTCTTACCTGTAACACAGCAGCAATTAAGTATACAACTATGAAGATTACAGTCAGAGAAGTATGGCCACTTTTCATCAAGTGAATAGTATAGAGGAAAATCAAGTGTCCAGGAATCACCAAAAGCAGCAGAACTTGGGCAGACTTATTATTTACTCCTGGAATATAAAATGTGAAAGTCATTAAAACAAAATTGTATTTGAATTAATAATAGGCCAATTGTTAAAATCTGAGAATTACTTTCTGTTTACTACATCTCATAAGGTCACACAAAGTTCAACTGCTAAAAATAAATTATGTAGAATTCACTTAATTCTTTGGAATTCTCACTTTGTGCTTTATATGATTAATTGAAAGGTGGTTGAAAAAACTTGCTCTGAAAAGCACTGGTCAAACTTTAATGTCTATCAAAGAAACACAGGGAAGACAAAAGAGAAAGCACAGAGTTCCTAAAGTAGTAGAATGCCTTAATTTCATGTATTCCTTTAGAGTTCTACCCACTGATATTACAAAGATGGGAATTTCTGATCTTCATTCAAAAGTCAATAATCAGGAATGGTAGAGTACCTGGCAGCAAGAGTGAGGCCCTGAGTTCAATCCCCAATAAAGCCAAAAAAGGGAAAAAAAGAAAAGCATAAAAAGTCAATAATCATATTTATTTTCATCAGGAAAAAAAGTGGCAAGAATTGTGAGGTTTAAAATCATGGCTTATCTTTTTTTCTTTATAACAAATGAAAACAAATGAGGCTTAGAAAGGATAAATAACATTTTGAAGTCTACAAAGCAAATAGGTAGTGAAGCCAGGACGAGAATCTGTCATGGGATTTGTAGCCTCTCTCTACTCCGTCATGAAGCATCAAAGCAAACTTATCAAACAGTGTATCTGAGTGCTCTAAGTCTGTGTCTGAAGGCATTTGGTCCTTCATTTATTCTGATTAAAGTTTATAATGTCAAAGTTTGCTTTGCTAACTATAAACCTTTTTTATCAATGTTTTGAGTGGCCCTAAGTGGTTCTCAGAATCTTGGCATCATATTTCTCACATGAGCAAATCGGACACCAAAAATTCTAACACCTATGAGGCATGGCCTGGACAGGGAGGGGAAAAGAGCAATGAGGGCAATGTTTCCTAATGGGAGGAACTTAAATCCAATCTGCTCTCAAGTCCATGTGAACATGTGCTGAATGAAGACTGCCTGAGCAGCTTCCTTCCCTACCCTGCCCTGCAATGAGAGCAAAGCAAACTGTAGAGACATGGCTAATTTCACATTTTTCTTCAAATAATGTATGGCTCATTTTCTATCTCTAAGACCTAGATTTAAAAGCTGTGATTTCATTAGAATCACCTTTATTTAACTAAAATGAATCAGGAAGATGTATCTGTGTAAAATTTGGCACTATCCTTTTTCTTTCCATACCAAAACCCTGAAGGGGTTATTAAATTGAAAAATTTTACAATATAAAAAAATTATGCTGTTAGAAGCCAGGTATGATGTCACATGTCCATAACCCCAGCAGTTGAGAGGCTGAGGCAGAAGGATAATGAGTTTGAGGCCAGCCTGGGCTACAATGCAACACCCTTGTTTAAAAAAGAAAACAAATAAATAAATTAATTAAAAAAATAAAATTATGGTCTCAGTTTTTTGGTAATCATATGCCTGGGTGAAATAATAATACACGGATCCCTTAACTGAGGTTAGTCATCTCAACATGTCTGGTATCAAATGTCTACATTTAGAAAAGCCAGAAAAGATTAGTACAGGAAAAGGAGTGCATCTGTCCCTCTAAACCTCCTAGCAATGCTTTCTTTCCCTTACTAATAAACGAGATATCCCGGGGGGAAGAATAAAAGAGAAAAATTATTCAAAGATTCTCAGCAACTGCAGAATTGATATGGATGACTTTTGGTTCACTGAGATTAGCTCTCAGAAGCAAGAAAACTGTACAACATTCAAAAACAAAATATACATCCAACAAGTGTTACCTGTCCCTAACTCACAGAGCAATAGTTCCTGACATAAAATACACAAGAGTCCACAAGCACATACCTGGACCAAAAAAAGTCCTAAAGGGGTAGTAACAACCTTTGGGTTCATCAGGCAATTCTCCTGGAATGCTATGTAAATGGAGGTAGGTAGAAATCCTGCTAGCCTGAATGGCCACCAAATTACCACCAATACCTGAAACATTAGGAAAACAAACAAGGGAGTTATCCTTATACTTTAAGCAACTTGCATAAATTCAACCAAAGCAAGCCTTTTCATGTCACATTCTGAGCCAATAAAGCAAAGCAGAGTTCTTCTGAAATGTTGATTGGTTTAATGTTGAGGTAGATATTCCAAAAGCACAAAATCACTGCCCTGAAAGATTCATTAATTAATTTTTTTCAAACTTGCTTAACTGGTCCAAAGCATCAATTTTTAAAAATCATCATAATCAAGATATAAAACTATGAAACAATTTGTTCATGTTTATCACCTTAGTGAGGGGGACAGGAAAGGTAGATTTATTCAGTTATACAAGGCTTGATACCTTTCTTCTCAGCTTACCAAAGAAATTGGTACAAGGTGCTGAAAAATTTGAGGCCAACCTGAGCTAAACAGTAAGACCTTTTCTCAAGGAAAAAAAACAACTCAAGAAAGTCACCTTTTTAACCTAGAATATCCTCTCACTAACTGAGGCAGAGGAGTTGATGCCAAGATGTGAAAAGAATTCCTAAGGGTAGAAGGCCCTCCGAGGTGAGATGGGGCACTGCAGAGAGAGCAAGGGGGAGGAAGAGACAGCAGGCATACAGCAAGCAGGAAAAAAACAAATGCAAGTTTCAAGTTCCGACATGCCCTGTGCACTAGCATAGCCTCTTGGAGTGCTGGGGAGTTCTAGACACAGGGGAGCCCACGCTTACTTGCCAGCTGTTTTCCATATGCTTGACAGACAGACTGAGGCAGGACGGCAGACTCAACAGAGTGAAGCTCAGTAGCACAGCCGTAAGAAAACTTACCATTTCTGAATGGTAACATATTATATATGACCTCTGTCAAATGAAGCAAAAGCTGCCTAGGTTCCACGGGAACAAGCACATGAGCGAACCCTGTGTGCTACTGCAGACAAAGACTGAAACCTTCCGGCTCAAGATCCCGCCTGGCAGAGAAAACCCTACCTCTGGGGATCAAGTGTACAAGGACTGCCCAAGATTGAGGCTAGGGCATGACATCAAACTCTAGTTCATGCAGACATTGAGTAAGAAGCATCAGCAAGTTACTCCGGAAGACCAGCAAGGACTCAAGTCATGAAATCTCCATGGCCCGGTGTGCGGCACTCCAGATGTCGCAGTCAGAGCAGGGTAATGGGAGCCCACCATCCATCACTAAAGATGATTCCAACGCCAGCCGAAACCAAACCAAGCTCAAATACTGACGAGCTTGACTCAAGCCTCCCCACTAATAACCAGTAAAAGAACTACCACTTCTAGGCAAAAATAATATCTTAATCTCCAAGGACTTTCATATGTAATGGCAAGCAAGCATCCACTAAAAATGCACAAGATAGTAAAAGGTGAAAGAGAAACAGAGATCAAAGAACCAGAAATGTTTCAGGTGTTAAAAATTATTTGATAAGGGCTTTTAAATAATTATGACTAGTATGTTAAGTAGGCTAGCAGAAAGGTATATAACATGAATTAAAAGATGGGGACATAGGACTAGGCATGGTGGTACATGTGTGTAATCCCAGCTACTTGGGAGGTAAAGATCAGGAGGATCATGGTTCAAGTCCAGCCTAAGCAAAAAGTTAATGACACCTCACTGCAACCAACAAGCTGGGTGTGGTGCTGTACATGTGTCTCCCCAGTCAAGTAGAAGTCAAGACAGTAGGATCATAGTTCAAGACCAGCTCTAGGCAAAAACTGAAAGATTCTACATGAACAAATACTAAATCACAAAAGGGATGGGAGTATGGCTCAAGTGATAGAGCACCTGTCTAGCAAGTGTGAGGCCCTGAGTTCAAATTCCAGTACTATTCCCACTCACCTCCCAAAAAAGATGGGAACATAAATAAATTAAAAGTATACATATGGAAAAACAGCATGTAAATGCTATGAAAAGAAAGATAAAGTAGAGATAAGTCTGTATGGGGAGGTGGGGAAACTTTAAAACAAAGTGTTACCAAGGATAAAGATGGACACTGACTAATGCTTAAGAAAGTCAGTTCATGAAATGGTGTAGATGCACCTAAAAGTAGACATTCAAAATACAGACAGCAGAAACTGATAAATTTCAAAGAAAAATAAACAAGTCTGTGTTATACTTAGCCAGTTTGCTATAGATGGCACACATAGAGCACACCACCCAACAACAGCAGCACACACTTTGCAAGAGTACAAATGGATCAATCATGAAAATATGCATGAAGACACACCACGTTATAGGTTGAAAAACAGGATGCAATAAATTTGGAAGGATTGAAATATGCAAAGTATGCTCTCATAGAAGTGATAGACACCTGAGAACTTCTTCACATATTTGAAAGTGAACAGTACACTTCTAAATAACTTACAGGTCAAAGGAGAAATCACAAGAGAATGTGGGAAAATAGTCAACTTAATGAAAATAAAAGCACAACACACTGAGAAATGGGAGAGGAATGTAACACAGTCCCTCCACTTGCAGCATTAAACACTGAGACTGTAAGCTCACCTTATTTGTGGGTTTATTATATGCAGTTTTGACCAAATGCAGTCCAAAAAATAACTTAAAAATCAAAAGAAATTTCAAAAACAAAAATAAAAAATTCCTGTGCATCTCAGTTGATGCAGAAAAGCTCTCAGATAGTCCCATACTATCATCAGTAATATTTAAATTGTTGTGTGAATAAATCACCATAAAGTCAGTTATGGAAGGGTTGGGAATACGGCTCAAGTGGTAGAGCACTTGCCTAGCAAACACAAAGCTTTGAGTTCAAATTCCAATACCACCACAAAAAAATTGAGAAAAGACCCTCTTCATCAGAGGAATGGAGGGAGGGAGGGGTAGAAAAAATTTTTTTTAAATTGTGTGATCTAATGAGTGTTTAATTGCCCTTCATTTTGTGAAAATATGCCACCCAAAAAGCAAATGGTACCTAAAAAGTAAGGTGAAAGTTACTGTGCTTAATTGAAGCGATAAAGTGAAAGTCTGAGATCTGTGGAAATGTACATGTCTTTAGCAGAAGTTGGGCAGTGCTGTGGGAAAAGTGAGTCAAGCATCCGCAGTGCAGCACTGAACTCCTAGCATCCTGAGCGTGTCCAGGTATTCCTCAATGGAATCACATACCTGCAGATTCCAAGAGTCTACTGTATTAGAAAAGAAGAAAGGTCTCATGTCGATGATCTAAAAATATCTTAGATACTTAGAAAAAAAATTAAAGTCAAACAAAGTGTAAAGATCAGTAAATGTAAAAGCACAAATCAATGAAACAGAACAAACAAAGAGAAAATAAATGAAGCAGAAGCTGGTTCTTTGAATAAATCAAGAGAAGAAAAGAGAGACATGAAGCCCAGTATCAAGAGTGAGAGAGCAGTCAGCACTGGAGGCGGTACAGGCATGGAAAGGGCACTGCAGGAATATCACAGACAACTGGAAGGGACTCTAAACACACTATCAGCAAATCAAACCCAGGAAAACAGTGAATGTACACACATCACAACCAAACTGGATTCATTCTAGGAATGCAAGGTCAATTCAATTCTTAGAAAGAAATTAACATAATTCAGTATGTTAACAAATAAATGGAAGGAAAATAATATGATAGTATCAATGTAAAAAATAGTAAAATTTGACATTTATGATTAAAAACTCTTAGCAAACCAGGATCCAAGGTGGACTTCATTAAGCACATGTAAATGTCTCTTTGCATATATACCCAGGAGTGAGACTGTTGAATCCTATTGTGATTTTTATTTTCAGGAACCTCCATACTGTCTTCTATAATGGCTCTACTTATTTACACTACTATAACCAGTTTGCAAAAATTCCCTTTTTTCCACACCCTCCACCAGCACTTGTTATCTTTTGTCTTTTTGATACTAGCCATTCTTATCGAAGTGAAGTGCCTCCTCATGGTGGTTTTGATTTGCATTTCTCCTATGGTTCATGATGCTGAGCAGTTTTTCATATACCTCTTGGTTATTTGTCTGTCTTTTAAGAAATGTCTATTTAGGACTATTGCTAAAACGGGAAATCTTAAAATCATTCAGGACTTAATTTGAATCACACTCAAACTACAGTCATACATTGCTTAATGATGGGGATGTGTCGTTAAGAGAGTTCACTGCTGTGTAAACATCATAGAGTGTATGTACACAAACTAAGCCTGACACAACAGCACCAACCAACATAAACTAATACTACTGTCACAGATGAAGTCTGCCGTGGACCAAAACAGCGTTTTGCAGTGCATGACTAATGGTGAGAAATATTTCTGCACAAGAAAAGCTATTAAAACAATTCCAACAGGATATCTGAACCAGGTGCTAAGGATCAAATGCTTTGATATACCAGAGAGAACAGAAGGCAGCAATTTTCTGGCCAGGACTATCACTTATTGTGGACCCACGGTTCCTGGAAATAAGACAGACTTTCTACACAAAACGCTTCAGGTGAGACTGTTTTTTACAATACGATTATCTATTGTTGCTAGATGATGAGTTCTTTTCTTGACAACTTAGGTGGTTATTTTTAGGCCCCAGCAATAAATAACTTAATATGGAGAAACCCTTCCTACTACACCCTCCAAATCTAAGCTGTTTATCTGGGGTATCCATAAGTATTACACTCAGAAACACAAGTTGAGTGCTTTTGTTCAAAGTTGGTATATTACCCATATATTGTCTGATACCTAGTGAAGTTCTGGCATTCAAATAAAGCTAATTTGTCATTTCAGAAATAGGAACCACAGAAAAAATATAAGTAGGGAAACAGGAAAAACATGAACTCTCCCCTCCCCTTAAAGTGGGGAGGGATCTCTTTTCATGCCAATGCACCAAAAATAAAGCAATTTAAATGTTATATTTTTAAAACTGGAATTATAATGACTTCATTTTAAACTAAATGTGGCTTCACAATTTCCTCATCATATGTCATCTGTCAAACTAAAAATTCACTAAAAGCAAATGCTTCAGCCAGGTATGGTGGTATCTGCCTGTGAT